CTCGAAATAGAACACTATTGCTAATGGTAGTCCCGTTAGCTCGTAGCGCACTATGGTTAAATACCAGCTAGTTTTTTTCGTGATTTTTATTCTCATGTTTCATATTCATAGGCTTTGTACCCACGTTTGATTCCGTGGCCTAAGTTGTGTTTGGTTAGTATTACCCTCATGGATTGTGTGTTCACGTTTCTTTCATAGCTTCTACTGCGTTTGGTTACTTACCCTCGTGGACTGGTGTGTCTACATTTGTTTTTGTGGCATAAGCCGCATTTGGTTATTTACCCTCATGGACTGTATGTCCACATTTGTAACTTATTCTGTTGAGTTCTCAAAATTTTAAATGTTAATTAAAGTGTTTTCAAAATTTATATGATTTTGGCTAACAATTTTACCACTTTGAATTATATGTGAGTAAATTGTTTTCTTTAAGCATGATAGCATAAATTGTTTTCAACTTACTCATATTTTACAATTATGATTATGACTTACAGGTTTATAAAACTTTGAGAAATTATTTTAATTAGTTGGCACCATTATTAAAGTTTGTTGATTTTAAATTTTAAGAATTTTACCATGAGAATGCTATTCACTGAAAAACTTATTTTGATCTTAGATTTGTTAGTTGATGCTGATTCCCCTTGACCTCTGAAGGGCAAACTAGCTACAGTGGGTGAAAATTTTTAATTAGTACTGTTGCTTTTAATGTAAATATATAATTTGTATGTTTTTTTATTTGAAAGAAAGAGTAGATGCTCCACATAGATTGTTGATATACTTTGTTTTGGTTTGTATATTGGTTGCTAGTTAGAAGAAGCTACACTCCTGATTTATACTGTTGTATGTAAAAAATTTTGTTGTAGAACTTTCAGGAGATCTTAGTTACAAGAAAGGTTCTGCCGAAATTTTTACAAAATGTCGACACTTTCTTATGATAATGAGTTTAAAGAAATTATTTTAATTCTCATGTAATTTGATTAATTTTTTTCTTTTTTTTAGTAAAATGGAACAAATGTTCATTCTAGGGCTTAGGAAATGTGTAAGTGGTTCACACCCATGCTAGTCACCCTCTATTTATGGGGTATGACAATTTTTCTATATTTATCCCTATGTAAGGGTATTTTACTTTAAAATAAATATAAAGTAATTATTTAATAGGGATATTTTTTTAAAAAATATAATAATTAAATTTTAAAATATTAAAAATATTTTATATATAGTTTTTAATATTCAATCTTTTTAAAGGGAGTATGTCTTTATATTAAATTGCCAATGAAATGACATGTGAATTGATATCAGAATGATAGAGATTACGTCATTATCTGCGGATGCATCCACCACGCTTGTGCCAATAAATTTGACGGTGGTTGGTCGGACAAAATCACTGATCTGTTAGAGAAGATAAAAAAGGACAATACCATAAGCTCAAGTGGTTTTGCCATAAGCTGAGGGTTCGACATTAAAATGGCTGATTCTGGTGAGAGTGTTTATCAAACCCTCTATGAGTTCGAGTGTGGAAACAAAACATCGTTAAACATGGCTTCGACGGGGCTTTTAAGAAAATCACTATTTCAATGTGTTTCTAACTGAATCGAATTGTTTACATTTGGATCTAAAGGCTAATATGAGTGATATTTTGATTCCTTTAGAATGTGTGAGTTGCCAATGTGAGATGGAGATTCAGTTAGTGAGATACGTGTGTTGTCATGGACACCATAGCCATGCAAAATCTGTTCCTCGCCATGCACGAGTCGTTTAGTGTTCATCAGATTCAGTTAGAAACATACGTCGTCATTTTGGCCGATGGACTTGCCTGTCAGATTTGAAGAAAGGATGAAGGAGATGTTGTCTTGATGAATTATTAGTTTAGTGTTCATTGCTATGCTTTTAGTAAAGCTTTTCTATAGGGTTTATTATTATTATAATAATAATAAAGGCTTCACGCTGTAAGTCTCTTTAATTTTTGTGTACATGTGTGGTTGTGGATTTTCATTGACATGTTGAGTGTAAATTTAAATACGGAGGTTTCTCATGGATCAATTGGCTTGATTTCACACCAGGAGCGAAATTTGGGTATGATTTCATTTGGGATATTATCCTTCAAATTCTTTTCTATGGTTTTTTCTCTGACACTAACAGCTATTTGGGTCAAACCTACCCCTCCTCTCTCTCTCTATATATATATTAAGGTTTTAAAAATTGTACCGATGATTGAACTGAACAAGGCACTAGTTCAAGGGTTAATGATTCGACTAGGGTCAAATTGTAGTTGAACCAGATATGATTATTTTAATATTTTTAAATAGTATATATGCATATATATCATAACATAAGTTCATCCAAAATCAAAAAAATAGATTTTATTTCATCTACCTCATTTTTTAATTTAGTATAAATAGCATTTAATAAAATTTCATTTATTAAACAACAAAATAAATAAGTAATAAATAATTTTTTCATTTCCCTCTCATGTCAAAGTTCCTCCCGCCCTGTCGCCTCTTTTTTACTTTACTTTTTTCTTTCTTTTAATTATCAAGACGACACTGCTTCAGTGTTCCTTGCTCCATACTCTATTTAATATATTAATAATATAATATAATAATATAATAATGGCATGCCTGTACGCGGAGAGAGAATACACCTCTAATACCCTTTATCTAATACAAAGGACAAAAGCCCTAACTCCATCTCCATTCCTCTGCCGTTGCCGTGACTGTAACTGCAAGATTTTGAGCTTCGCATCACATGATTTCATGGCCGATCAGATAGTTTTGTGGTCAGAAAAACATATCTATGGTGGTGGTTTACTGTAAAATATATTCTTTTCTTGGTTTTTGGTGAATATATTTTTTCTTCTTCATCTTCATTTTTATTCTGAGCATCTTCCTTCAGCTCGCCTCTTCTTTTTCCAGCTTGATTCTTTTGAACTGCTTGAACCAGCCACCCAGTTGCTTTTTCTGGTTTTTCCAGTTTGTTGACTGGTTTATCAGTGTTTGACCGGTTCAGATGGCTCACGGTTTTGCAATATCAACCGGACCAGAATGGTAGCCGGTTCCCAGTTGAACCAGTCAGTCCGGTCCGATTTTTAAAACCCTAATATATATATATATATATATATTGGGTTATCATGTGAAAATGACAACACCAACTTGGAAAGCAAAGATATTTACCTGTAAAATATCCCATTTGTTCTAATTAATTATTTCCAAACCATCGTCAAACTTGGCCTGTTATGGGTTCAATTTTACTTTCTCTCAATTACAATATAAGTCATTATTAATTAATTTATGTTTCTCACAAAATGTTTGTTCAAATCTTTATTTTTTTAAAAAAGATATATTTTCTAATCGTGCCCTTAAGTGGAATAAATACAACATTTGATTTATTCAAAAAGCTCTCATTAATTACTCACTCCGTTTAAAAAATATAAGGCGTTTTTTAAGGAATTAGATATTAAAAAATGTAAATTATTTTTAGTCCTTGGATGTGTAATCATTGCCTTTTTTTTCAAAAGTGCCTCTATTGATAATGACTTTATATTTATTATAAGATGTTTAATAAGGGTAAATATGAAAAGATAGGGTTAATTTGAAAGGAGATAACTACTTTATTGGGAGGTGAGATTCGGTTAAAAATGCCTGAGGGAGTATTTAATAAAATAAAGGTGTAATTGAAAAATATATATAGACCTATCCATGATTGTCTTATATTCTAAACCAAGCAAAATTTAAACAATTAACTTATATTGTAATCTAGAGAAAATATATTCTTTTGTAAAATAATGCCAATTATATATATATATATATATATATATATTGTGTGTGTGCGCTTTTATTTCAAAAAAAATTAGCCATCCACACAAGCTTTTATTAAGAAAGTATGGTCCCATACATTACATATCCATATTTAATAATTAATTATTCATCATAACTCAAATGGTCTCTCACACTAAATGTATATTAAATTTTACACTTCACTCTCTAACTTTATATAAGGTTTTAGTTTAGTTCCTTAATTTAATAAAATATTTTTTTCAGTTTTCAAACCCTAACTATGTCAACACTTGAGAATATTTTATCAAAATTTAAAAATTTACTATAGGAATTTATTGTTGATGTAATTAATAGTATTAGGATTAACTGACTAAAAAGATACTATATAATTTAAATGACCAAAACAAAACTTTATGTAAAGTTTAAGGACTAAATGTGCACTTTAGTCCTAAATATATAATATAAAGTTTGATTAGCCACCCTATTCATAACTTTTGAATAACATGATGTTAGAATTGAGATATGTTCGTTGATGTTAGAAAGGCCAGAAATGAACAACAAAAGGTTCTTTCGCTTTAGCTCGTTCGCACCAACTGGTTTGGCCTGTCAAAAGAGCAATCCAAAATTTCAAGTATTATAATATTCAAATTACCCAAGTATGTCACATGTATATTTCTCGCTAGTTCTATTTATAAATCATTTTTAGCATATTTTATTAGAATCAAGAAAAGATCTTAAAAGTTATAAATTGATTGGTCTAAAAATTTAATAATATACATATTTTAATAACACATTCTTTCCATTCATAAATATAAGAAAAATTTTCATACGGTTTTTTTTTTTACACACCATACAACAATGTTCAAGGAGTATTTATGACATCTTTCCTTAATTACCCTTTATTAAATGATAGTATCATTAAACTAGGAAAAAAATTAAGGATTAATCATAAGGACATTTTAGTCCAAATATTTTAATTTTAGACAAATTATTTGGATAAACCAACTTTCTTTATTTGTATAAGTTGGTTAAAATTTCTTCATATTTGAAAATGGACGGAATATTTACTCTTACTAACATTTAGTCGGGGTAAAAGTAAAAAATTGTGATAAAAATTTAATAACATGATTTATAAAATAAACAAGATAAAAAACATCTCTCTCTATTTTATAAATAAGATTAAAGAGAGTATATATGAATTTTTTCAACATTATATATTGACTTGTGTTTCAGAAGTATACTCAAATATTTCAAGTTGTTGAACTTGAGTGTTCTCATGGAAGATAAGAGCCTTCAAGAGCTGCAAAATTCTAGAAGGAGAGTAAATCACCTCCAATCACCAAGTCAGATCTCTTGTTGAAGCTGCAATAATAATATTCAATGAATCCTACGAACAGAGTTTAAAAAACAAAAAGAAATAGATTCAAAACTTTGAAAATTTATAAACAATAATGTCTTGTCACCTATTTCTTCTTTGAACCTAGTCAAATCTCCATTCACACATGTGACAGCAAACTTGAGCATTTTGAAAACTTCCGATCTCATGTTCCAGTCCCTGAATCAAAGCAATCCCAATTACATGTTTGAGATCTCAAAACTTGGTTTAGATCAAACTTTTGATTAAGTGATGATGCTAGGAATGAGAATCTACTACCTCGAAAATAAGAAAAGAGAACAAATAAGCAAAAGTATGTTGGGATGTTAAAGTCCTACATTGAACAGAGTTGAGTTGGAGAAAAGGTATATAAATGGAAAAGATCCATGAATTTAGTGTCTTAAAACTTTGAGTTAAAATTTGATATCATATTTATGTGTATTTTCTTAGAATTGTTGGTCAGCCTACTATAAATTTATGTTCTCCCCACAACCAAGATGCTCTCATGGGCCCAAGAGTAGTGGAAGGATCAAGATGTTCTGTAGACTGGACCCAAGAGTAGTTGAAGGATACCACTTTTTAACCCCAACCAAGATGCTCCCCCAGCCTAATTAGGTTTAGAGAAGACATCACATTTTAACTTCGAACTCAAGTTTATGATGGATACTGTTCCTTTCTTATATATTAATTATTAAACCCAATTTTAATCAATACAAAATATTTCACTTTGGCTAAAGTCCAACCACACATAAACAACATAACAAATGAAAATTGAAAGACTCACAGTTCAAACTTTTGATTGGCACAGGCAAGAAGAGCGAGGATTGCCCAGTAAGTGTAAAGTTCTCGAGGGGTAGCTTGCAGAGTTGGGTGTTCCTTCTGACACAAATTTTGAGATCAACTCTCGTCTTCTCCAACTCGATGATATATTCAATCAGTTTCAGAGTATCTTCCACTGAGGTTTTGATGAGGTTTATGTGATCTTCATTAGACTCTTCTTCCCCCAGCTTGAAGATGTGAAGCTTAACAGAGTTTTCATCTGCAGTTTTCATGTGAGAGAGACGCCATGTTTCCCCAGAGTCCAATGCAAAAGCTGACAAAGCTATCACTGCCTTGGCATCCCATGTATAGCTTCTTAGTTTCTCTAGAATGCCAACTATTGTTTGGTGTGCTGTAGATTGTTAAAAGGCTTGCATGTCATCTGTAACCAAATCCGATATTTGACTTTAAGATTTAAAGATGAAAAAACACAATCATCGGTCCCCATAGTTTTATTGAATTTTGCTTTTAATCCTGATAGGTTTAATAATAATCAATCGTAACTCATGATTCGTTTAAAACTATCTTGTAAATAAGATCGAGGAAGTACTTTATATTGATAATGAGTAACGTTAGGAAGAATAACAATAAAATCCTCAAAGAATAAATTAGCAATGACATGTAAAATGAAAACATAGGGAAGTTAATGAACTCTGAACGAGGAAATTAAACAAGAAATATATGAACGACCTCACAGGCAATTTCTTTGAGTGTAGTGAAAGGTGGCATAAAATCGCATGTGTCTTCCACGAGCTCAGCATTCTTGGGACGCTGTGTGAGAGAGAACAAAGAAACGTAAATTACATTAAAAATAAATAAAACGCACCACTAAATCTCTTCCAAATATACATTAATCACATCAAGAATTAATTAGTATAATAAATAAGAAAAACACAATTGTTTATAAATACTCAAGTGTTTATATTTTGAACCAAAGTTAGTCAGAAGAAAATGTTTAGATTTTGGACTGGAGAGAGTAAATATCTGATTTTCCCATATTTAATTGAAAACTTTTAAATTTGCATCACACTTCTCTCTTCTAATTAAGATGTGGCTTACAATAAATATGGGAGAGAAAAATTGAGACAAAGTTTCTTATAATGCTGACCAATGGTGAACGTACGGAAGAGGACGATTTGTTTACCTTGAGGTTACTGATATTAACAGAGCTCTTGACAACGTTGGAAACAGCGTTGAAAAGTTGTTCCACGTCGCACTTGGCGCCGATGGCGTCATGGATTCCGATGATAAGTTCGGAGATCTCTTCAGGTAAATGGGTTCTCCACCGACGTTGTTTCTACAGAGACGATAGGGATTGTCGAACAACTTGCTTGAGGCTCATCCATCACTTTCACACTGGTTTTTCAAAAGAGAAAAGACCAACGAGATAATGATGAGTGTCTTTGCCTGACGCCTCACACCCATTACTTATTTATAGGGACCATCGTGTTCTGTGCTCATCATCACGTGGTACTCCACTTTATTAGATGTCATCCATTCAGATTTATTTTAAAATTTTTAAATTATATATATTTTGTGTACTACAGTACATAAAACATCATTAATTACTCTTTATGTCTCAATTTATAAAATATTTTTAGATAACATTACATATATTATTAAAACTCATTAAATACACTTACAATCTTTTAAGACAAAAGTATAATTTTTTAAAAATATCATTCATTTAATATTCCCTTTGCAGAATTTAAAGAGAGAGAATATCTAAGAAGGGTAATATTAAAAAAAAATTATTAATGAACTTTTTTTATTAAAGTCTTTTATATTTTTGAGACGTTAAATCTTCCTCAAGAGTGTCTTATAATTTTATACGGAGGGAGTAATTCATAGTACTAAAAAAAAATTAGTTTAAACCTTCATCTCTTAAATTTTTTTATCTCTTTTGAATTATATTATTGTTAAATAAAGCTCCTTAATAATGATAATCGAATAATATTGAATATCAAATAATAAAATAATTATATATATATATATATATGTATGTATGTATATAGGTATCAGTACATACATCAGCATTTGCTTGAAGAAAAATAATGTCTTATCATGTATGTAGATTCATATAGAAAGAGAGAGGTATCAATTTATCAGCATGTACTCAAAGAGGAATATTCTAGACATTCATGTATGTATGTATCCTTCTTCTATTTTAAATTATTAGACACTTTTAGATAAAATTTAGCTTTTTAAAATATAAGATACTTTTAAAAAATTAAAATTTTATTAAATGAACTTATTCCAATATTGCCTTTTATCTTTTTCTTGATTTAATTTCCGTCCCTAGTTCTCTGTATTCAATATATTAAATGAAGAGTGTTTTTGAAAGTTTTATATTTTTATTTTTTAAAAAATAAAGTTGTTAAGTGTATTTAATGGAATTTAATAATATATAAAATTTTGTTTAAAAATATCTTATAATTTAAAATAAAAAAATATATAAAGACCGTGTGTTATTCTTTTCCTTGTTCACACTCTTAAGATATTCCCCTTCCTATTACCTTCAGCTCTTTTTTCTCGAAGAGTTGCTCTCACACAGCAGGACAAAGTTAAAGAGAAAAATGCCATCCTTTTGAAAATCAAAATAGAGATATATCCCAACTTCTCAAAAGAGTAACCCTCATAATTAATTGAAAAAATTGCAATAAAGGCGTACCCGGTAAATATAACTATAGTTAGTAAAAAAGAAAATTTCAAAAACTCTAAAATTTCATAGCAGTTCAATGGTACGTACTGCAATAAAGTTAAAATGTTGATAAAAATTACATGGTTGTCCACTGCTTGAAATTGTTCATTTTCTCATATATTGTCATACATTACCCTACATTAAGCTGTGTATTGCCGTAGTGTCTGTTGTTCGTCTATTATTTTTAGTTAATAATTAACTTTTTTCCTTGCTTTTGAACATTTGTAATGAATAAACAATAGATAATTGGGCAATGAATAACTTAATGCAGGGTAATGGATCACAATATGTAGGGAAATAAGTAACTTGTGTTAATCTAATGACAACATTTGGAATGAAATTAATTGAAAATAATGGGCAAAAAATAGACAGTAGGATAATGAACAACTTAATGTTAGGTAATGAATAATAGTATGGGCAACATTATCATGTAATGCCACTTAGTTTTTATCAGCTTTTGACCTTTTATCTCAAACAAATCTTGCAACGCGCACCATGCCATCTTTGATCTTCTTTCATTGAACTCCTTCTCTACTTCATCGTATTTGTTTCCCATTGGAATCCACAGGATCTGATAGTTCTTTGTTTTTAATTCACCATGGATTGAACTTAGAACTGAGATCTGTTCTTCGATGTTGTAAAGGCAAGAAATGAACAAGAGGTTCTTGGTCTTCAGCTCATCCTCATCAACCCATTGGCCTGTATTTCAAGTATTATAATATTCAAATTACCTGAGTAAGTTACATGTACTCTTGCCAATTTTATTTATAAGTTACTTTCAACATGTTTTATTGAAATTAAAAAAAATTTTAAAACTTATTAAATGGTTTATTTAAAATTTTAATAACTTTTCAACTTTGCCTCTATTAAATATACATACTTTAGTAACATACTTCCTCTACTTATATATATATATGAAAATTTTTCATATGGTTTGTTATTTTTCATAAACATGAAACAACAATGTTCAAGAAGCATTTATGACATCTTTCCTTAATTACCTTTCACTAAATGATGCTATCATTAAATTAGGAAAAAAATGAATGATTAACACAAGGACATTTTAGTCCAAACATTTTTTATTTCAGATATAATTATTTGGATTAACCAATTTTCTTAAATTATGTCAGTTGATTAAATTTTTTTTATAGTTAAAAACAGATGAGGGAATATTTTCTCTTACCATCATTTAGTGGAGGTAAAAGCGAAAACTTGTAATAAAAATTTAATAACATGATGTATAAATAAAGCAAATAAATCTTTTTGTTTGCCTTATAAATAGGATCAAATAGAGTATATGTATGAATATTTTGAGCATATTCACCTTTTTTTTCAGAAGTATATTCAAATATTTCAAGTTTAGTGTCCTCATAGGAGATCAAAGCCTTCAAGAGCTGCAAAGTTCTAGAAAGAGAGTGAATCACATCTAGTCACCAAGTCAGATCTCTTGTTGAATCTTCAATAATTTTCAATAAATCCTACGAACAAGTTGCAAGGGAAAAAAAAACGAAACAGATTCAAAACTTTGAAAGTTTATAAACAATAATGTCTTCTCACCTATCTCTTCTCTGATCTTAATCAAATCTCCATTCACACGAGTGACAGCATAGTTGAGCTTCTTGAAAACTTTCGATCTCTCATGTCCCAATCCCTGAATCAAAGCAATCTGAATTACATATCTGAGATCTCAAAGCTTGGTTTAGATCAAACTTTGCATAAGTGATGATGTTAGGAATGAGAAGCAATTACCCAGAATTAAGAGAGAATAAATAAGCAAGTGTATGTTGGGATGTCAAGAGTTCACCTGGTTTTGGTCAATGTATACTCAATGAGTTCAATCAAAAACTCTCAAGTTTGGTAAGTAGTTATTTTACTTTTAATATCTCTCTCTCCATCTCCCTCTCTCCCCTTCTCTCCCCCCTTCAAAGCACCAATATTTCAAAAAATATAAACAGGCTGGGCTGTTTATACATATTACTTGATAATATACATAGCCAATGCGATAGGCTTCTTCTAATTCATAATACATATTCATTTTCAGTGATAGAGTTTGACCATACAGACATTACGTAATGAAGATAAGACATGTTAGAAACAATATCTTTGAATTCTCTCTTCAAAGGTGAATGATCTTATTGATGAATGTGACATTTGGGCTTGATTTCTTTATCTCCCCTCTTTATTTTTTAACCTCATAACTTGATTAGGAAAACTATATGCCCCAAGTGAATGCTAGCATCCATACCTACTATATCATTTTTGATGGTCAAGAAAAGGGTATGAAAGTATATTGTGAAATGTTGATGTGCTTTGAATGGATGAGATAATGGCAATAAGCAAGGAGTGAGAAAATGACTGGCATTGTAGCAAGTAACATGGGAGACCATGACCTTCCTATGTAAAGGACCCAAAAATCCAATATTTCAAAATTTTCAAGGTCTTTTTATCACGGCATGTAATAGGAAAAGGCATGGATGCAAATTCATTTTTTTGCTATGTATGGCCTTGCTCTAATAGATGATTATTGTGGAATTAAGTGGGGGTCAGGATGAAAAGATGTATCAATTTATTTATTTA